CTTTGAGGAACACAAGTCTGCTCTAGGCTTTAGATTCCAGCTGATGGTCCTAGACTCTCTCTATTATCAGAATTTACATCTATACAATACTGTTCTGCCTCTATGCTGTGGCTGCTCTGTCTCCATCTACATCTCCTCTCTCTTGTACTTTGCTTCACATTTATCAGGTTGTCAAATGGAAAAAAGTTAATGAGCTCAAACATAACCCATTATATGTTCAGAGCTATTTGCAGGCATTTAGCCTCATATTTCCTGTTAACATCAATGAAATCCATGTAGCTAATTCACTGTCTGGGACTTGGAATAAGGGGTAGGAAAGACTTAATTATGAATGAGGTTTGTTCACATTTTGCCTCAGTGCTTCAAGAATGGAGGTGAAAGGATGCCAGAAGGAAGAGACATGGATTTAAAAAGCAATTTGTAAAAAAAAAAAGGAATCTTTCCTTCCTTAGGATAATGCATTTGGAGTTAAGGAAATATATAAATTATGTACAAAAAGGTGAAGGTGCCATATAGATTCAGCTACTTTCAGCTGAAAGTGGGAGATTAATTATTCAGGAGTTTTTCCTTCTGTTTTCCACTGATGTAGCATGAGAAGATGTTGGAGTGTTTTAGGTTTGTAGTATTCAAGAGATATAATGTTTGAATTTAAAGGTATTTGCTTTCCTCTGAAACCATCCCAAACCAGCTGCAACATGGCCTTCATTTGCCTGAACTTTGAAGAAACAGAGATGAGCAAATTACATGTTAACAATGATGCAAAGAAGAAAAATCTATAGTGGGTACCTAGCCTTTTTCCTTGTTACATCAATCCGTCAATCTTGATCCTCAGCCTATCGCATTTCCCTGTACCCATCTTTCCTTTTTAAAATAAGCTTCCTCTGTAATCAACTTAAAAGCAACCATAGGAAACTGCCCACGGTATACAAGACAGAAAACAGATGCACTGTACAAATTAAATTATGTTCTGAATAGAAATGAATTTAAAATACATTATTTAAAAAAAAGGGAAAAGGCATCAGAAAAGATTGACGATGTCTCCAATTCAGTCTGCAAAAAGAGAAATAGAAGAGATCTAAAATGTTTTATGCTAATTAAAGTTTACTTTTTGGTGCCAGCAAGCAAGACTCCTCAGCCCTAAGCGTACTCTGTAGAGTTGAAAAGGTGAGTGGTGAATCCTGGAAGAACTACAGTTGAGTTGTAAGCCTTACAGACACAGCCAGCACTCATTTTTATTTTTATATTTTGGTGGAACTTTGCACTAAAATGGCTAGAAACCCCGCAAACTGGGTCTGGCTACTTGCTTCTATATGCAAAGACACAGAACACACATGGTAAAAGGGACACACTTCCCAATAGCACTCTTAGGGGTAAGAATCATCTGTTAGTGTGTGTTGATAAGGCACCTTGCAGAGTAGGATCCCTAAGCAGATCGTTGTCACCTTTGGATACGAACATAAAACAAAATAATTTATTAGTATTAGAACCTGTGCCTTTCATAAGGGAATCCAGGAAGCAGTAATGTCAGGAACGTGTTAGTGTAATAGATTAAAAAAAAGCAACATCTTTTATAAAATAAATGTCACATAGGTAGCATCTCCCTAACCAGTCTGTAGAAAACTAATCCAGGAGATGCAAGCAGGTTTTTTCCACCAATATCTTTTATTGGAATTATTCAGTTGGTAATGCAACTATAGTGTGATCACAGCTACAACCATGCTCCCCCTGCAATGGGAAGCAATTCTAGGAGTTGGACGGTCATTCCTTGGACTGCAGAGCCCCTGGGGTATCTGCACTAGTACATAAGGCTCTGGAGCTTCCCTTGGGCACCTGGATTCTCCCCAGCTGATTGTGTTGAGACATTTACAATTCATATGAAAATGCAGGATGCCTTTTGACAACACCAGGAGTAGTGCTGTCTGCTGGCGTGAGAGAGAGAAAAATTACATCTCAAGAAACCTTTTTCCAATCTCCACTTTGCTAAGTGACTGGCTGCTTGAAATAACTTTCCTGAGCTTCAGTCTACTCATCTATAGAACAAGGATATCATCCAACTTTGCCCTTACAGAACAGCTAGGATTGCAAAACAAAGCACCATTCTTCCCCATAACACACAGACAGTCCAACACCGGTAGGAAAGGCAAGACCTCTAGAGAAATGAAGAAAGATCAAGAACAAGACTAAGGCAACCAAAGCAAACACACTTCAGAAACATCCCTGAGTTATCAACAGGAAGAACTTGAGGGTCTAAGAGACTTTACTGTCCATAACTCCTATGACTCCCAGAGAGAAAAAAAATCAATCAGTGTCATCCTACAACAAACTGCTGATGCAGGATTTTCATATTTGATTTTAAAAGCATTAAAATGCAGCAGCAAACCACATTCATTTCCCAGCCACGCCCTTCACGTTTCTTCTTTTCTCTCTCTCTTTTTTTTTAAAACATCACCAGAGATTTTAGTCACTGTAATAGCCTGTGCTAGAGGTACAATTCAGACAATTCTGGTGGCACTATATTTAAAGGATAATGTAATTAAGTTAAAATGTTGTGGATTAGAAACCAAAATTAATTTCCCCTGATGTAGCCCTTTTTAATTTAAATAAACCTGTGCAATCACACAGAAAGAAGTCTAGGGCCTACTTACTCCAAAACCGCCTATTTCCTCAAACAGAATATGTGCCTGTAAAGGAACATTGACTTTTTCTTTCAAAATATCTTCAGAGATTGTAGTTACTTACTCTGGATTGGGGGTTGGACTAGATGACCTCCTGAGGTCCCTTCCAGCCCTACTTTTCTATGATTCTGTGATTGTAAGTACTTACTATGCTTTTGCCACTCACAGAACCAACAATTAATTTATGGACCTTTCTTAAAAACTAAAACACATTTCAAACTTTCAAGGACCCTGGACATTGAGAACCTTAGAAAAGATGATGGAACACTTACTGCTGGTGCTGGACACCTCTTTCGGACTGAATGACATTGGCTGAGCACACATTTGACAGAGACAGTCCCTTCCATTAAAGGTAACTCGGTCTCCTGGTGGAAATGGGCGCCTGGAATGTGAGAGAGAAAAATGAGTTGAAGTCAAGGTTATCCTCGCAGTTTTATACTTGGCCTTGTGTCTTCAGTCTGCTGCCTTCCTCCGGGTACAATCAGTATCTTACAGAACCCCAGGCCAAACTATGTCTGAAATGTGGCCTTGGCAAAGCCAGGCAGCTGGAGGAAGTTCAAAGGATAAATGCTCCACAACTGCAAGAAAAGCAGGAGTTAGACTGACTGGACTGTTGGTTTCCAGAAGCTATCAAAATGCACAGTATCTATGGAGAAGCAGACAGTAGACGTTGCTTAGACTCAACAGGTCCTGCAAGGGTAGTGGCAACATGACAATGATGACCCCCAGCAGCATGGAAAGACAGACAAAGGGAGGCAGTTCATAGGGTTGGTCCAGAAATATAGGGTATGACTACACGGCACAGCACAACTAATGCAGAGCTAGCTCAAGTACCAGAAGCAGCCTCACTGTGAGACCAGGGCATCCCACCCCCTTGCACTAAAGCAGCTGCTCTGCTTCCAGTACCTAAGCTATCTCTGGTATTTTGGCATAACATTGCATTGTGCCATCCAGACATACCCACAGAGCTGTTCAGTTCACAAGCAGTGATAATTATGTCGAGCTTGGTGGAGTTGCCCACTGAAACAGCCATGTTCCTATTGCTAGAACTCTGAGCAGATACCCACACTACAAAACCATTAATTGGCACCCTTGCTGATGCTGTTGGTGGAGAAGTTAATGGGCTACTGAGACTGGCATTTCCTGACATCCCCAATGTAATGTGCTACAGCACAACAGATACCTGTATTGCCTGCTGAGCCTGGCTGTACTCATTTAGTGGATTAATGGAAAATTTCTGCCTTCGAGGCTGAGATCCAGCACCTTTATTAGCACTCAGCTCACTAAAACCAGCCCCAAATTCCTGAAACTCCAGGTCTTCTAAAAATGGAGTAGTTTTCATTTCCTGATGCACGCTTTCTGCAACGCAGCCCACTCAGAACTGCTCACAACTACTTCACAAATCAGCATCAGCACCAACCAGCTGATTGGTAGGACTGGGCAGAGCAAGTCTGTCAGGGTGGCACAGTCAGCAATGCTTCAGCTTTAGCTGTGCTGACTGTCCTGCTGCTCCAGCCCAGTGCTCTGGTGGTGGGCCCGGGTCCGTGCACTGATACCTGGGCTGCTACTGTGTGGGCTCTCATCTGTTCTGACAGCTCGGGCAAGAAGCCCTGGTCTGGTATCAAGAAGCCCTGTCCTCATAACTACAACATCAGCAAGAGCCAGTGTGTTTTGGCCATGGAGCCACCA